GCGATAAAAATATCTGGCAACCTCTATCTTGACACTTTGGCTCAGCTATGGCAAATTACTTATAAAATGAAAAACACATGGTATGAAATGAACATTGCTCGATTGAGAAGCTTGCTGAAATCGTTGTAGTGCGCGATTTGACTCACGCAGAGCTTCGAGTTTCTTGTGAGCGGGCAGTTCAAATTCCTCGTAACCAATGTGAAATAAAAATGTTAATATCTCCGTTAGGCGTTGATTTCAGTAATTTCCGTTGCGCGAACCGTGTTCTGCGTGAAATTCTGGTTGAGATACATGTATCAGAATGCTTAAATTCGTACCTTGTCTAGTGGTCCATTGTCGCATTCAACGCAGCTGGACCTCCAGCCTCATCGCTCAAAGTTTGTGTTCGTCAACTGGATAAGATAAGATTAAGGAGAATGGAGCTATGTGAATGGTCGGTTTCACGAGTCGTCCTTTTTAACGTCCCTGTAAAGATATAATCAACGAGAAGCTAAAGGCACCTTCCGAGTTGCCGGCAGTTCGTCGTCAAATCCACCAGACGCACAGAGGATAGAGATAATAGGAGAGGTCAGACAAAATTTGGAGACTTTAAACGCTTATAACTCCGTTAATACAAAACTTAGAAGTTCTAAAAGTGGCTCCATTGGTTTCTTCCTGTAACTTTCTTGAAAACGCACCCCTTAGAATTCAAGATGTAACGAAATAAACATCAAATTTTGCAGTTTAAGTCAAAAATTTCATGTCCGACCTCTCCATTGCCTCGATCCACTGTGCGACGTAAGTACGACAAAGAGTATGACTTACAAAGCCGACCAATCACGTAACTCCATCCTTATACAGAATCGCATACCTCCAATCGCGTAGCAAAAAGTTCCTAGTTACGTCCATGTATGATCCTTACGTAAAGAAAAAGTACGATATCCCATATATGGCAGTATTGCCTTTCAGTCAATATGAATAACAGTCAATTCATTGAGAGACTTAAACGCCGGAGTAGAATAGACAACGGGCATCTGCATGAGGATGTTCAAAGGAAAGGGCACTCTACTCGTCAGAAAAATAGTAGCCTAAGAACAGTTTTTGGCATGAAAATAAGACCAAGATTTAGAGAAAATTTCTAAATATAAAGTCTATGAGACAAGGCACTTTTCGGTTGTTATGCAAGGATTAAGACGATGAACCATCTTGGCGACACCTGTTGGCGCTCACCAGATTGTGAATTTCCCCACTTCACAAGCTAATGTCACACAATCAAATCGAGTCATCAAATCTTCAAGGCCAGGTGTTGTGATTGGCTTATTTGATGACGTGGGCCAATCCCAACACTTGAATTTGATGTATCGATGGCACGGTTTGATCGTGTGAAATTAAACCGAAAATGGACTACAGACGTCATATTCGATTTATATTGACAAAATGATCGCCAGGATGACCAATATTGCCGTGTTAAGGAAGAGCGACGTATGTACATTCGAGAGTTGCCAAATTTCCTCCAGTAAAATGTTCATTTTTGAAGAAAGTTATAAATATTTTTCCTTTAAATTTTCAGGAATTTTAGATGAAATTGCCAACAAAATCGTCTGAAAAATTGGAGGGAAAATATTCATAAGTTTACTGGGAAATTCGTGTTTTATCAAAGGACTTTTGGCAACGCCTGAAGGCTCATACCAGGGTTGCCATAGAATTTAGAAAATGAAATTCCCTGACATTTCCCTGATTGCCCTGACATATTTTGCTGAAATTCCCTGACAGTTAAAGATACGACAGGTGGTGAAAATAATTTTCAGGCAAAATTTGATGTTCGAAACCTCAAACTCGTTCTTGAAAGAAAGTAAAGGTGATTTAATACATTTGCCCTGAAAATTTCGTCATTTTTCCTGACATTTCTCGATTTTCCCTAACTCTTTAAAAGTCCCTGACATTTCTTGGTATTTCCTGACTATGGCAACCCTGTCATACGGCGTTTTTCTTTAACACGGCAGGGTGCTAAACACGCTAACCATCGAGTTGTGGTTTCAAAAACGGTCGGAAGATGGCGCAGCCCAACTTACCGGTCGCCGAGGCTTGCCCGACTCGCGACGGCCGGCAGGAAGATACCGATATTTTATAATTCGATTGAAAAAACGGGCATGATGAGGCATGCATAATGATGAAAGCCGCTCATATCATCGGCTAGACAATTGCTCACCTACTTAGGCCCGTCAAGGGCCCGAGAAGAGGAACAAATCGCGGGAGAAAACAATCGCTAATTAAAATCGGGCCACTGTTATTCGGGTGTCGGCGCGTATGACAAGCTTGCGGTTCGCTACGTAATCTAATTACGTGGTCCGCCAGGGACGGGAGCGGGGGGGATGCTTTCGGGGCGCCGGGGCGGGGGGAGGGGGGAGGGGGGAATGAAAATATTTGAGGATGCCCGTAGTCGCTTTAACAGCCGTGAAGAATATTCTGCGTCTTCAATGACCCAGTATCCACACTGGGCGATAAAAGCACCACCGGCTGCTCAAGCCACGCTCGTTCGCTGCACAGTCACCATCGGTCAGGGTTGCCACAGAATTTACAAAATTAAATTCCCTCACGTTTCCCTGATTTCCCTGTCACATTTTGGAAAAATTCCCCGACGATTGAAGATATGCCAAATGGTTGAAAAGACAGCTTGAAATAATTTTCACGCGAAATCTTGTTGGAAACGTCGCATGAATTCTGGAACGCAAATATTTTCTCTGAAATTTCCGAACTTTTCGCTTCAATCCGATTAAGAGAGGTACAAGAGGATATTTAATATAGCATCATACGAGGGAAAACTTTTGCTGGCCTCGAGTAATATTGAATTAGTATTACTTTGAAAATGGATCGTTGCAAGGGATTAAGTCGATTTGCTACTACAAAAAATACATAATACGTAGTGAAATATGAGGCGAGTTTTATACATTTCCAACCTTGAAGTTCGTGAAAATCATAGAATTCCCTTTTCCGTATTTTGTACTTCTTGCGACAGCATATAATTTTAATCTCTTGCTAGGAGCCATTTGTAAAGTTAAACCGCTCAATTTTACACGAGGCTTGCAAAATATGTCCTCTTTATCATGCTATGTTAGGGATCTCCCAGAAACTTCCTTCATAACGATGTAAACCGCACGGGGCTTCCTAAGGAATGGAGCTGTTTAAGGAACGGCTCCGAACACGACCGGGAAATAGAGCGAGAGAAAGGACGCGCGTTGATGACGGCGCAGAGATACAATTATTCGTGCTTCATGGATGTCCATGTTGCATCTGCAAAATTGAAGGCGCCATGGGGCGAGGCGCGAACTCGCACTGAAAAAAAAGATATGGTAGATTCTACCGTACTCTGACACAGTGATACGAATATGGTAATAAACACAAGACAATATGGTAACATTTACCATATGGTAAGTATGTCTAGAGCTCTGGTAAATACTGCCGTGATTCTGGTTATTTCCACTTAAAAGTATCACTGTGTAAAATATCAAGTAAGTTTATAGTAGATGTTACCATACTTTTTTTTCAGTGCGCAATGCTCAACTCTATGCTGCTAGTAAGGTGTCGCTCAGATCTGGGAGAAAAGTTAAAAAACGAGGCTCGAATACATTTCTCCCATTTTCGACTAAGTTGTTCTCGTAGCCCTTGAAACACCACTATACAACCAGGACAAACGGAACCAACATAACACGGAAATAGAGCGAGGGATAAGACGGCGCAGAGATACAACTATTCGTACTTCATGGATGTCCGTGTCGCATCCGCAAAATTGAAGGCGCGATGCCGCGGGGCGTGAACTTGCAATGCTCCGGTTTTTATTGCCACTGAGGTGTTGCTCAGATTCGAGAGAAAAGTTAAAAACGAGGCTCGATTACGTCTCTCCTATCTTTGGCTGTGTTGTTAATGTAGTCCTTAAGGCACCAATCCAAAATGAGACAAACAGAACTAACACAACGTGTAAAAAGGGCGAGGGGAAGGACGCGCATTTATGACGGCGCAGAGATACAACTATTCGAACTTCATGGATGTCCGTGTTGCATCTGAAAAATTGAAGGCGCGATGCCGCGAGGTGTGAACTTGCTTTGCTCCGCTCAATACTGTTGCTGCTGCTAGAGAGGTGTCACTCATTGTCGGACAAATAATAAATAGGCAGAAAGGTGTAATGAGCTTCAAGGAGTCTTAGAGAGAAAATCATGCTGAGGAAAAATACTGTATGAACACTGGCAAGAAAGAACGAATTTCCGGACGTATATTGACTTCTATGGACTACTTTCGTCGGATCAACGATGATGATTGAAAAATCTTCTCCCCAAATGAAAAAAAATTCTGACTGATTTCGGCGGAATTTCGGATTTTTCCTGACTTCAGGGGGAACAAACACCCCCTTGACTATTTTCGGAAAAGTGAGCCTCCTGCTCGTGCGGCCTCATCTTCTAATAAAAAGAAGTTCCTGACCATAGGCGAAAGAGCTTGATGCAAAAACGACGTTCTTCACCCCCCCCCCCCCCCCTCTGGAATTTTTTCAAACATCGTCTACGAAGTTCTCATACTTGAGCGCTTTTCGGCCAAATTTTTTGGGGGTCTGAAAATTTGGGGGGTAAAGCGCTCAAGTATTAGTACTTAATAGACAAAGTTTGAAGACATTTCAGAAGGGGGGGGGGCGAAAAACGTCGTTTTTGCATCAAGCTCTTTCGCCAAATAAAAGGTCAGGAACTTTTTTTATTCGAAGATGAGACCGCACGAGCGCGAGGCTCACTTTCCCGAAAATAGTCGAGGGGGTTTTTGTTCCCCCTTAAGTGAGGAAAAATCCGAAACTCGGCCAAAATCAGCCAGAGACTTTTTTTCAGAAAAAAGCGGGATTTTTTTCGAATTTCCTGAGGAAAGAAAAGCGCGGGAGAAAGACGCTCGACAGAATCCGCGGGAGGGGGCGGGCGGCATCGGCAGATCTGGCGCGACGCGATCTCTTTTCCACTCTGTGAACTTGACTTATGAGCGCGGGAAAGGCGTTTTTCCCCTCAGTTGCCGGGAGCCCATCCTCAACGCAGCATCCGCGAGTCCGTTCACTTCAGTTCCGAGTTGAATGCCATCGCGTCAACATGAACTCCACGTACCCTGTCATCTTGGCGTGTTGTTTGGTCGCCGTTGTCAGAGCCCTCCCCGCATCCGAGTCCGACCTTGCCCCCGTCATCGAGCAAGATGGTGCGTCCTCCAAATTCCATCGAATAGTACAAGTTTGAAAATTAATTCTATTCAAAAATAAATTCGAAAATTCGTTGCTGAAAAAGATCAAACGGAAACAAGTGTTGGTTCGCGCTTTGAGGGAAGTCGATTGTTCTCGGTGCATTAGGGTTCTATGGGACGGACGTTTTACTACTGGCGTGGGGACGAGTTTTCTGGGATTTCGGAATTCCTCGACTTTCCAGAATTTTTGAATGTAGAATTTCCTGGATTTCCGCTGACTTTTCAATGTTATTTTTGGGCGTGAAAAATATTTCGGGCAAAGTCCTTTGATATTGAAAAAATGGCATGTTCCTGCAGCGGAATTCCGTTTTTTCCAAGGTTTTTTCTGATTTTGCGAGACTTTGGCATCCTAACTAGACACGGCTGATGCAAGCGTAAAAAAAAGAACAAAAAATCCGTAGGAGGCTAATGATCAAATCAGGTATTTTTTCAAATTCCTAGGCGAACAGTTAGTAGCCCTTAAATGCCTATACATGTAGATAATAATTCTATCTTCAGTTAAAATTCTAAGAATTTGACAACAGAGTGATCAAAATACCTTGATAAAAGTTCTTTGTTACACGTTGGTTTCATTCATAATTAAGCAGGTATTTTGTTCATTTTTTTCATTTTTAAGACCTGAAATACTAAAAAATCTGCATCGAAAACATGTAAAACTTGGACAGTCTTCAAAATTTGACTTCCTAGGCATTTGTAGAATGCTTCATTTGACAATTAGCCTGCAAGAAATCTATGTTTGACGTCGAAAAATGCGTGATTCCGATTGCAACGTTCTTAATCTTTGCTTATACTTCATTTTTCAAAAGAGAACCAGCCAATACCATCTCTACAAAAATTCTGTACTTCGCATTTCCGTTAATTTTATTCAGCGTTAGGTGTCTTTTACTCTTATTTGTTTTCTTTTGCTTGGAAAAATTTTGAGTTGCAATTCTGTGCACAGCTGCTAGTACATTTTCACAAAATAATACCGTTGAAAAAAGAAAAAAAAATTAACAGGGGTTTCTCTCAAATTCCCTCTGGCATAAGTTCTGATAAATTTTTTAGGCGGATGCCACAGATCTTTTTCTTTCTTTCTAATTCTATTATTTATCTTTAGAGGCGCTTTCAAGAGGTGGAAGATCAACTGAACAGCACCACTGTTCGGGGAATTCGATCAGCTTCATTGAAAAAGCAGACTGCTGTAGATTGCTGAGCATCTGCCCACCATTTCCAATTTTCCTTATATAATGAGTGACTTGTGATTACATTCACTGATTAAAATAGTTACATGCAGTAAAAAAACGCACAAAAACTCCATTTAAAATCGGGAGTTTTTTTTTTTTTTTTTTTTTTTTTTTTTAATTTTGGCGTACTTTTGGTTGTCATAAAGGACCACTGAGCAAGGTGAAAATGTAAGCATTTTGGGTAAAGTTGTCTCATTACAATTGCACGTAGAACATGATTCGCGCAACGAAAATGACTCATATGTATTAAAGTTTTTAATTAGCATATGCCACGAAAAAGTTTTACTTCCCGCTCACAACAAAAACAAAGAGTCCTCCTGAATCAAATCGCGCGATAAAACGGGTTTGACATGCTTCTCGATTAGCAATGTTCCTTCCCCACCCTGTGTTACAAACAACGTGCAATAGATGAGCCGAAGCGCAGAGATCGATGTTTTAATATTCTCATATCGCAGAAATAAAGCTTAAATTCGCACCTTAGTGGTCCATTGAACGTCTATAACGCGCGGTGCGCAATATAGGTTTGGAGACTTTAACGCACGGTAAAGAAAGTAAGCGCAATTCCGCAGCGACTATCGCAAATATGCTTTTAGACTTACTTATTGGCTCATTGACTCTGTCATTAACATCGTCATCATTATTGTTGATTTCACAAGCACAGATTTTGAAACTATGTATCGTAAAACGTCAATACTTTGTTTGGGGGTTACTTTTAATTATTCCTGTTGTACAATTCGTGTTCTACGTGAAATTTTGATGATAAAACATACGTTATAATGCTTCATTTCAGAGTGTCTACCAGTTATGAGAAACCAAAATTGAGGACTTTCGGGGACTTTTGGGGTGTTTTTTCAAGAAAATCGGGGACTTTTCCCCCGAAATAGAAAGAGAAAGGGAGGTAGTTAGAGCGTAATAAGGCGTACTTTATACGACTAATCTTACAAGGCATGTTGAACCGATGAAAACGTACGAAAAACCAGGCAACACTTCAGTTTTTTTATTCCTGGTTATACCGCGCCGCCGCGGCTGGCGGAAAAATTTGAAAATGCCGGTGTTTAGGACAATTTTTGTCATTTTTGGGGGACTTGAACAAGCAAATTGGGGACATTCGGGGACACCCTTCCAAAATCGGGGACATTGGGGACTTTCGGGGACCGGTAGACACCCTGTATTTGCACCTTGTTTAGCGGTCTAAAGTGACATTATTTTTTTGGTTTGGATATGGGTGTTATAAGAAAATAATGGAATGAAATAAAATTCCATGTTTAAGGCACTGAAGATGCCCCCAAGACGGCCGATGCTTATAGTACATTGAGAAGAGCGTACAGACTCACATTTCTACCCATTCGAACAATGCTTTACGGTTATCTCCGCAGTTTTATGCGTCGATTTAGGAGGCGACGAAATAAGCACAGAGGACGCAGTAAGTGCTTTTTCAAAAATATGATAAGTTTAGATGAACCAAAAATCAGTTATAAACAAAGCATAAAGTAGGGCTCATGGTATTTTTTTTCTAGCCCTTAAATTCCGTGTGTTCTCCTTGTGTTCTTTCTGTATCATCTGTATGTTTCTAAGGTGAAATCTCGCTAAGTTGCCTTGTCGAGGGTCCGAGAGTTTCCATTTGAGTGGTTTTTCGTATTATCCGCTTCACCAAATAGCGGAAAATAAGCTCGAAAATTCGAATTAAAAATTTCAGGTGATTTTGTTGTGCATTTTTTTCGAACTTTTTAACCACCGCTCATAATTATAAAATGTTTTGAGTGAATTGTCAAATTTTATCCAAATCCTTCTCAACAAATTGTCAAAGGAAATCGAAAAGCTACAGATTTTGGAGCTCTTATTTCTGTGTATTCTTTAAAATTGAATCGGCTCGTGCGAAAACCGCTAATGTCCATTTTTTTCAATTTTGAGATTTTTGGGTTAAAATACTCTCGGAGGTCAGACACACTCATTAATGTGGTGAAAATGTTTGTTCCTTGGGTTTGAACCCCTTTTCAGGGGGGGCCGTGGTCCGAATCATGCGAAAACCGCTAATGTCCATCCTCCGATATATGCCTCATAAAACAGTACAACACACCAAAAGAAAAAAGTGTCTCCTGGACGACATAAGGTGATCTTCATGTATTTTGAGGCGCTGAATCCGAATATGACCTCCGTTTTATTCCATCACCCTCCGATTTTCCGGAAAAACTGATTTTACTCGGAAAAGTGGCCATTTTTGGGCATTTTCGGTGTATTTCCTACTGTTATCCCCTGCAGAATGTAGGTAAAACTTTTCGTAGCTACGAGATTCACGTTTGCCGATGTCTTTTTGACTGACAAATCCGGAAATGACCTTAATTTTTCCCGTTCACCTCTCAGTTTTCCGGGAAAGCAACTTTTTCCCGGGAAAATGAGCAAATTCGACGTATATTATATGTCGTGCATGAAATTTATTTTTATAAATTTTCCTGGACCCGTGTTAGTATGTTGCCTCTGTATTTTGAGCTGCTGAATCCGAATATGACCTCGGTTTCTTTCTATCACACTTCAGATTTCCGGTAAAGCCGATTTTTCCGAGCCTAAAATTGTGTATCGTAAAAGCTTCGCCGGACTCAAAGTGTGTTCGAAATTCATTTTAAAAATGTCTCCGGTGTGTGATACATTGAATCCTTTGTGTATTGAACTGTTGAATTCAAAAATGATCTCAGATTTTTCCGATCACCCATCATTTTTCCGGAAAAGTCGCTTTTCCTAAGGAAACGCTCTTTTCGGGTATTTTTGCGGGATGATTTTCCTGCTCTGAGGAGTTTCAGAAATTTTCCGAGATCCTTTTTTGGTCTCTCTTGCTGTATTAAGAAGCACTGAACTCGAATTTGACCATCACTCATCTATGACAAGCCCCCGTTTTCGAGAAGGTTCGATTTTTCCGGACTCTTGGCCCGGTTTTTCCCGGCCAAAAGCTTTTCGGGACTGTTCCCTCTTCCAGGGAAATTCAAAACATTTTCCGCATGTGTGATACATCGTTTTACATGTAACGTGAGCTGAAAACCCCAAATATGACCTTAGAAATTCAATATCACCCATTGGAGAATTTCTGAAACTCCTCAGAGCAGGAAAATCATCCCGCAAAAATACCCGAAAAGAGCGTTTCCTTAGGAAAAGCGACTTTTCCGGAAAAATGATGGGTGATCGGAAAAATCTGAGATCATTTTTGAATTCAACAGTTCAATACACAAAGGATTCAATGTATCACACACCGGAGACATTTTTAAAATGAATTTCGAACACACTTTGAGTCCGGCGAAGCTTTTACGATACACAATTTTAGGCTCGGAAAAATCGGCTTTACCGGAAATCTGAAGTGTGATAGAAAGAAACCGAGGTCATATTCGGATTCAGCAGCTCAAAATACAGAGGCAACATACTAACACGAGTCCAGGAAAATTTATAAAAATAAATTTCATGCACGACATATATACGTCGAATTTGCTCATTTTCCCGGGAAAAAGTTGCTTTCCCGGAAAACTGAGAGGTGAACGGGAAAAATTAAGGTCATTTCCGGATTTGTCAGTCAAAAAGACATCGGCAAACGTGAATCTCGTAGCTACGAAAAGTTTTACCTACATTCTGCAGGGGATAACAGTAGGAAATACACCGAAAATGCCCAAAAATGGCCACTTTTCCGAGTAAAATCAGTTTTTCCGGAAAATCGGAGGGTGATGGAAAAAAACGGAGGTCATATTCAGATTCAGCGCCTCAAAATACGTTAGGATGACCTTATTTAGCTCGGTAGGCATACTTAAACATATGCGTTTTCGATGATTTAGAACCGACCATGCAAGAATCATGCGAAAACCGCTAATGTCCAGTTTATCGCTGGTAGTCCCGTGATGAAACTTGCTTTAAAAGCCGCAATTGTCAAGAATTTTAGTTTTTCAACTTTATTTGAATGATAATCTACAGTTTTAATATCTTTAGAATGAATTTTGAAAGTATCAAACGGCTCCAAAACTCGGCGATTTTTACGAATCATGCGAAAACCGCTAATGTCCAGAGTCCTTTTTTTTAAATTACTCCATCCCAGACTGAAGAGGAGCTGGAAACGGTTAGGGATCCTTTTCTACAATCCACTCTTGTAATAATCAACTTCTGAACATTTTTTAATCCCGCATTTAAAAGGCTTCTACAGTTTTTTGCAGTTTACTCAAAATAAGAGAAAATGGACATTAGCGGTTTTCGCACAAGCCGATTCAATTACAGATACGTCATCATACACCTTTTTCGAAATGTTTCTCCTTTTTAAAACGCTCCTTTATCCTGATTTTTCACAAATGAAATCGAATTTTCGTCGGGTTTTCCGGAAAGTTTTCTTTGACTTGAGCAGCCTTTTTTCTGTCACAAGAGTCATGGATTCGTCTTAATCGCAATTATTTTACAGTGCTCCTGATAGCAACGGTGTCTAGAGACTGAAGAAATTTTTGACTTAAGCGAGATTTCGTCTTGACTTTAGATTGACTAATTGTTAGTAAGATTTCGTCTCGACCGTAGATTGACAAATTGTAAGTGGGATTTCTCTGTATTAATAATAGCTAAAGAAAAGTTAGGATTTATTATGTAGACCATTTTTTATACAGAGAGCAAAAAGAGAGAAAAACCTAATCAAATTACCAATGACTGACCAGAACTGGTCACTACGAATTCCTGGAAATACTATTTTATAAGTTTTTTTTCTCCTACCCCTTCCTAAAACTTACCCAGTTAAATTAAAGAGTTAAATTTTTTGTTTTCTTTTCCTTGAGATCATAAAATTAAAACTACTCTTAAGCTTGCACTTTTTTGTCTGAATAGATATGGGCATAAACCAACTCCATACCTTGAGAATGCCTCTTTTTTCCTCATATTGAAACAATTAAACCTCTGAAATTTTTCTTCTTGCATGTGCACGTTCGTGTCTTTTGGTAGCAAATCGTGAGCCGGGAAAGATTTCTTGAATTTTCTACTACATTGCTTAGCTTGCCCTTCATCTTGTTGAGATGAAAAAAACTTTCTCATTTTCATCAGTATTCTAGGTTTCCCAGAGGGCTGAAAATGTTCAAAAACCGTTCAAAAAATATGAACATTTTTTGGCACATACGAGTTTATTATTTGCGATTAAAAATGAGGCCCTGTTTCCCAGGGGTATCATGCAATTTTCTGCATCTGATTTGCATTTTTACAACTCAACTCTGTGACTTAAAATATTGGCATTATTCATTTTTTCCAGGAATATGTATTTTCTTTTTTTCTTTACTTGAATTGAGGTTTCCATTTTGAGCAGGCTCAGTGTCCACCTTGGAAAAATTCTCAATTTGGCTATTGAATCAATTAGATTTCACTTATTATTATTCTGTCTGTTGTTTTCAACCCCCCCCCCCCCCCCCCNCCCCCCAAAAAAAAAACAAAAAAAAACAAAAACTCATCACCTTTTTGCATATATTAGAAAAAGTAATAAAAAAATGAGCGCAGACAAGATATCGCATCAAACACCTATTTTCCTTTATTATCTTCCTTTTCGGTATGGAGCAGAGGAAGTTAGATTTATTTTTTTTTCTCTGAAGCTTAAAACTTTACATGTTGCTCCAACACATCCCAAGGGATACTTTCATCTTTTCACTGAATTGTGAATCTAAAATTCCAAACCTCTGGCTAAGCTCTTGAAACATAAGTATGTTTCCTCTCTTTCCTAAGATATTTCCACAGTAATTGAATAAAATTTGGAAGAGCAAGCAAAGCAAACATTCTTCACTACAAATTTGTTAAACTTCTGTTTTCACACCATGAACGGGACGGTTAAAAATTTTCTTCAGTGAGTTTCTGCAGCTCATTATTTGAATCTCACTAATTTGTAATTGCATAATATTGAATCAATTGCTCGATCTCAAAGTAAATCTCAATTGAAAAGAAGATATCCATAAAAATTTTGGTCAAGAGAAAATGAAAAAATAGGGAAGAAAATGAACAGCATCTGTTAAACTTCCGTTATCACACCATGAACGGGAGAGTTAGAAATTTTCTTCAATGAGTTTCCCCAGCTCAGGATTTGAATCTTACTGCTTTGTAATGGTATGATATTAAATAATCGCCCAATCCAAAAGTAAATCTTGATTGAAAATAAGATATCCATATAAATTTTGGTCAAAAGAAAATGAAAAAATAGGGACCTAGTGAAAAAATAAAACCTCAATTTTGACCTTTCAAAAGGAAACCAACCGAATTGTGATTTAAACAGTAACAAAATAAATTTTAATAATCTTTGGCTTGAGAACTATAAGTCATAGGGAAACTTTAAGTTACTCTTTTTCTCTGTGAGGTAAAATATCTTAGAATTGTTGCTTTGAACTGCGGAATAAGTTTAACCATCATTCATTCTACCTCAAAAACATTGAAATTAGATGGAATTAAGATACTGTGTTTATTGATGTTGAGATCTCACGATGGGATCTTTTCATGATACCCCAACTCAAATAAGCCTTTAGACAACAGTATACAAACTTGAAACGGGAAGTTAACTATAAATTATTCAATGACTTTGAGCATTCACTCCCATTACACTAATGAAATGCATTTTTTCCCCATCTTGCAGGTCTTGATATGAATTTTGAGGACAAAGAGAAGTGTAACCTAAATCATCTGGGCAGATGGGTGGATAAAGAGAATCCATGCCGATTTTATGAGTGCGCAATGAATTTTACAGCTATAGAGAAGTGTTTGTCAAGGCAAAACGCGGTTGAAGATGAGAGTCAGATTTACAGAAACACGATTACTCAGCATTCGAATCAGGTATTTTCTACTTACATGCGCTATAGCAGGATTTTCAGTGCAAAAAAAATAAAATCATGGAAGTGACATAGAAAGAGTTTTACGAATTGGAGAGTCAAAATTCCAAAAATAATAAAAAATTGGTTAAGAAAGAAAAGGAAAGAATTAAAATTCTGGGCATTTTAACTGCATTTCTAACATTTCATTCGCATACAAGCATTTTTTTACCCACCATGCCTGTCTGGCCTAAATACCCTTTAATGATCTTCAATTCTCACAGTGCTATCAATAGCGCAATCAGACAAACGTGACCGAAACAATCGCCTAGCAACCACAAGAGTCAACTCATCTATGCAAAGGTGCCCCGAGATGGCACTGATAAGTATACTCATCTATGTATGCAAATGGCCTAAACGATCAATCTTAGAAAAGAATCTGGATTTGGCACATGTAAATGAACATCCAGATATTAAAACATTACAGACTGATTTTATATTGAATTTTTAGCAAAAAATAGATCAATTCGTCTAGGAGCATATTTCAGTTGAATATTCTCTTTTGAAAAGAAAATATTTCCCTCGAGTTTACCACGGATTTTCTAGACCTGTAAACATCTTGATTTACAATTTGTGATTGGTGCATTAATAGAAACGAAATTTAAAAAAATAATCTCTTGATTTCAGATAAAGCGAGAACTAGTCGAGTCCAAAAAAAGCAAATCCATTCAACACTCAACGTTCTTCCCGATAAATGACTGCGTTTCTTTGGTAAGACACCAGTGCAAGGACAATTTCATTTACAGCACACTGAAACAATCCTGTGTACCCATCAACACCGTTCCACAAGAGTGCATGAAATGATTCAAAACGGAAATAACCGAAGATGCGACGGGTAAACAACCAATCAAAATCAACTTGAGTACTAAGTGATGATACTCTTTTGAAAACTCAGAGGCAAAAGAAGGAGGAATTTTGGAAAATATTTTCAGATGGATTCAAAAATAATTTATACAAAAGTTGTAAGATAGACTGGGCTAATTTTTCCTTATTTAGGAGTTGCAACGATCTCTTAATTTATTATGTAGTTTTTAATTACCTGAATAAAACAATGTTCTGTAAGTTGATTTCTAGTAGTAATTTTTCTTACTTAGAAATATTTTTTGATCCTACAATTGATCGTGCATTAATGATGGCTTTTAACAAAACACGCATGGAATAGAACGGTGTTCGTTTTTAAGATTTCACTTGCTGTTCGTTATGGTCCCTAAGAACTTGCAAACCTTTTTTTTTTTTTTTTTTTTTTTTTTTTAACCTTTACTTTCTCATAAATCTTTGTTTCTATTTCATTTTTGAGAGGAGATTAAACCAACATCATGGTTTGAACTTTTTCAAGAATATTCTTCACATAGAGAAGACACATTACCGAAGTTATCAAGAAAAGTCGTTCGGTAGTTGTCCTTGTAAAAGATAAGAGATGAAGGAAACAACGCTGCAAACCAAGATACACATTTCTGCAGTTTCACCATCAAAATGTAATTCTATGCAGGAAGCACCAGATGCAATTCTAGTGAATTAAGATATTCCTTTGTGCTTTGGAAAACTTACCAACTTTGGACAAAGGCCAAGACAATTTTTAAACAATTAAACACTCGCTTTTTTTTTCTTAATGCATGCATACACATCATAAATTAAAATAAAGAAAAATTGATTACTTACTGAGAGTATTGACACTTTTACTGAGCCAGTTGTCCAATTCTGGCTCTGTGAAGTTGTTCATCAGAGCTGGAAACCTACTACTCAGGATGCACTTAAGGAGATCATTCCCTCTATTAGTTAGGATACTTCCAGGGCTGCAAGTAAAAACAAAGAAAATCATTACTAGGTCATACTCAGGTCACTTGTTCAAACATTTTTTTGATGAGCACCGCATTACATTAAAAGCTTGAAGCAAGATAATTGTAATTGACATTTGGATGGTGAAACTGCAAAAATACGTATCTTGGTTTGCAAATTTTCTGACTTTTCTTACTTTCTAAGTATGGAAAACTACTTTACGTCATTTCTTGAAAACTTCGGTGATTTTTCTTCTCTATGTAAAGAGTCATCAGTGAAAATTTCCAGCCATAATGTTGACTCGGTCTTTTTTTAAAAATAAAAGAGGAGCAAAGATTTTATTACTAGCAACCGAGATACGCATTTTTGCAGTTTTACTGGTGGGAAGATACCTAGTGAACAACCAGTACAGCGAGTACTTGTGAAAGCACTGTGATGTGAATGACAACTTTGACAAGGGCAGGTCAAATGAACAAGATTATGCTTGATATTATGATGATATGCTTTTTATTTAGAAACATTATCATTTCTCCAAGGTTTTAGTATTCTCATTTTCATTTCAGATTTGTCAGAAAAAAAGAGCCTCTAACATGCTGAGGTTTTTTCTTCTTTTTTTATAGCAATTGACCTCCTTGGAGTCTGAAAAGCAACTAAATAAAATACAGTGATAGCTTCATGAAGGATGCTTACCGAAAATCTTTGGGCGATACGATTAGAAATTAGCGACTGATACTTACTTTATGGCTATGATTTCATCGTCAGATCTTCTAAATAGGAACACTGGTCCTTTGTATTGTTTAATTAACTCGCCAGGCGTCAGGTTAATATTTTCTCGCATGACTCGACTTACAATAAAGGACAAGAAAGATGGCATTCGAGGAATGGCTAAAGGTAGGATGTCATCAAAACTTGCATCAATGACCTGGAAAAATATATGAAAAAGGGAATCAAACCATTTTTCTGTTCAATTGCACGAGAGTACATGTATATACATGGTAAAACAGACTATTTCATGGCAACAATAATAATTATAACGTAGAAAAAGAGAACTTACAATCCCTGTTATCAAAAAAAAAAAAAAAAAAAAAAAAAAAAAAAAGAACACAAACAAGAGGAATGCAACCAATCATTTTGTATGGTATTCTCTGAAACTTAACCTAACCAAGCTGGCCACTTAAATAATATTCTGTGACAAAATATGACACCTACAATGCAGAGAATGCCAACTAAATCCTGAAAAGAAAGAAGAAGAAGAATGAAGGTGCACGATTTTGAAAGCAATGCATAGAGTACATAGAGTCGTAATGTAAGTGGGAGAGCTGGCGCCACTTTTAAGCATTTTCCACGTCCCGAATTCCAAGACTCCTGTGTGACGCCGGGTCACTTTTTCGATACATAATCGATTGTTTGCAATACACGGGTACCCAGCCATCTGATGACAACAACAACAACAACAACAAAGGAGATAGGAATTACCACGTATTCCACACCGCCATTTTGGATCGAAAATGTATCGAAAAAGCGACCCGAACTCGGCGCACACCGGGCTATGAATTCGTCGAGCAGATCATGGCGCCAGCTCTCCCATTTACATTACGACCCTATGTACTCTATGAAGCAATGAAATCGCTTTGTTTCCTTTCGCTAAATGCGATTTGTTAATACCCTGGTAGATATTAGAGCTGTTCACAAATGTTAGCGCTTATGATAGTGCAGGGATGCTTCAAGATGTTTATCTACTTGCTGGGCACTCAAAGGAAAATGTTCATACATATATTTATTGGGCATTTAATGAGAAAGTGGGAAAAACATATGTATTCACGTTTGTGTTAAATCACAGTGTTTATCACGATTTTCAAGCAACTATGTTTTCCTGGTGAAGATTTTATAGAATTTAAAATTACTTACGGTTGCATTGAAGTCCTGATAACGGCTGGCAGCATAAGACGAAACGTAACCACCAATACTCCAACCAAATAAAATTATATCAGAAATTTCAAATTTCAAATGATGAACAGCAAATTGGATAACACAGTCTATGGCTTTTTGCTCCTGATCAGGATAAGGGGTACCCTGTAATTGATGAAAATATTTACAAACATCAGTTAAGCATGGTGTACTAAAGGGAGCTTTTAAGTGTTGAATAATACACTTAGATGGAGGAGTTAACAAAACAGTGCATTGCAAAAATAACAAATGGAGGATTAGAGTCTACCAGAAGGAAAAGAGGACTGGAAGAGGAATCAAACTGAAATCGACAGAGACTTGTCAAGTTGCATTTTAGGGGGAAAAAATGAGATTGGAGCATTTGTAAATTCAATTAGTTGTAAGTTTTCCCCGTCAAAAAATTTAAATTAAGACAATATATTAGGAGCATGAGAATAGTTGATAAACTTTGTCCTTACCCAGTCTCATGGAGGTAGAAGACTTCAAACTTCTATTCTCGGTTTAAACTTGATATGATTTGGTGCATTTCTATTAAACTTGGTCAATTTAATCAAAAACTGTTAAAATAGGAGGGTTTCTACCCAGTATTACTATATTTTTAGAGAGGCCTAAGTTTGTTTTATGGCTGCGTTATAAGACAGAAAAGGAGGGTGAAAACAATTGAAAAAGAGAGTATGCAGGATGCATTATGCCATCATAACATTTTAATTACCCATATAATTTTTTATGTAATTATCGCCGAAAAATTGAGAGGAGACATAAGATTTTTATTTAATTCACTTCCTGTGATTTTATTAGGCACTAACGGTTATCAAGTAGGAGGGAACAAGCCACATTTTTAAAAAATTGAAATACAAGGGGATTTTCAGCTAAAACAGAATCTTACTTTCATCAGGCAAACAAACAAGGCACACAAAAATCGTTTGGTAGTAGAACCTGGTCTTAAAGGTCACTTTTGAACATTCTATCTTCTGCTCTCATCGAGAGAGACAACCCCCAAAAATCTCTTTCTCCATTCCAATTTCATATGACTTGCTTTCATCCTCCTGAGTGCAGTCCAATTTCGCAAATGTGCTAAAGAATAATGTCAAAGAAATAAATCACTCCAGTATTTGCTGCAATGGAGTGCCTGCGAATCTTTTGAATTTAATCTGATGAAAGTACCCTGATGTGTGAGAGGAACCTTACAAATCAAGATAGAAATCCTCCAGGTATCTAGATGGTGACATTATAGACCTTGAAGATATAGAAGGAGAAAAGGAAGAAAAACACTTACCGTGCTTGCTCCAAAACCTGGATGGTTCCACCCTAATACTGAGTATCCTGAGTCTAGAGGAGTTACCATGATTCCGACTTCATAAAATCCAGCATTTCCTTCAGAGCAAATGACTAAAGTTTTACCTAAATGCCTGCAAATAAAAATAAAATCATTTAAAGTCCGAACTTGACGAAGTATGATATCTGAAATGCGTAACTTATACAAATTGTACCATCTTTTTTTTTCTCGTGTTTTGGGGATACATGTTTTCTTTCTTAACGGGCGGATTTCTGATGAAAACCTTGATCGGATTCAACCCGAGTATATGGAGTCTCTTGCTGTTAGTAGTAAGCATTTTAATCAGCTTATTTGTTTTTCAAAGACAAAATGATAACAAACTTTAAGAGAAAAGCAGGTGCCATGCTCCAATGAAAGAGCAAGAAAACTATATGACTTAAATTAAATGCTGAGAGATTTTTGAGACAAAGCGAAATGAAAGACAAGTTTGAGACGTTTTTGAGGCTGGTGATGAGGCAGGGTAGGAGCAGCAGAGGTCTTGAGCTTTCAGCATCCTATTTTCATTTTCCACAAACTGATTGCTGTGGGCGCACGGGTCGTCAGACAGTATGTTTGAGTTTTTTATCTCCCTACAGAGGAAAAAAGCTGACACACAGGCACAATTTTCCCTCAAAGAGATACGCTGTTTGGTACAACACTAGTAACGACCATTCAGGAAGGCAACTGCAGCGCAGCCTGCACTGCACTGAGGATTGGCCCAACAAGGCCAAAACGCGTCTACAGTTGCCTTCCTGAATGGTTGTTACTAGTGTTGTACCAAACAGCGTATCTCTTTGAGGGAAAATTGTGCTTGTGTGTGAGCCTTTTTCCTCTGTAGTGAGATATCACCTTCATGCTGAATCTAACGCAAGTTTGCTAAAAAACTCCAACAGACCGTATTTTCATTTTGGTTTGTCTGCCACAAATTGGTAAGTGGGAAAGCCTGAAATGACTTGAGCACCAGTTTAGCCATGAGAAAGTAACAGAGTACAACTTGACAGGAACTGCTTTTTTGAAGCTGCTGCTGATTCATTTGGCTGTCTTTCACAGTGATTTTTGTTGCTTTACCAAAACTTGACTAGAGTCCATACTTTTACTATACTACTACCATACTGCTCACTAAAAATTTCCATAATTTTGCTGCTCACTGTAACTACAAACTTGCATATTTAATCAGACCTAAGTTTTGAATTAAAATGACTGGTAAGTATTTAACCAAAGAAAATTTCACAACAACAGATTCAGACTTGGACATGACAAGAACCAGCAAAAAATTAATTTCCAATAAAGTTTCTGACAGTAGCGTGTATGTATAATGCAGCAATCATGTAGTTGTGAGCGTGAGACACAAATAAATATTGGCGATGAAATTAGCAGAGGAAATATTTCAGTCTTCATTTGGAAATACTGCATTAACACAGGGCACAAAATAAGAACTTACGTTTTACCACGCCGATCAACGAACATGGTATCGAGATCATTTCCATCACGAGTATGAATTTTAAACCTTTCGCCCATTTCTGTAACAATCAACTTCTTTCTGCCGTCGCTGAGGTTTGAATCTGAAAAGGAAAAAAAGAAGACCTTACAGTAAACTGTAAAAATATTTGCAAGATAAAATGCAAGAATAAAATGAAATTTTTGTTTCTCTTATACAGTGTTCTTTTAAAGATCAATTTTTCTATTAGAATAACAAAAATAACGCATGTTTCCTATGTAAAATACACTAAAAATCCAAATTAGACATACACTCAGTTATTTAACACTGAACACTCTTTATATAATCGTCCATCACCTGAAGGGACATATTTTGTCAAAGCTGTTTCAGTTTTTCTGTTAACACTGTATTTTTTCATGGGAGAACCAAAACACAAATGAGTCTGAAAACTTCACAGTTTCTTCCTACAAGGATAAAGAAAATTTACTAGAAATTTCAGGAAAATCCATGTGATGGTTCTCCTATTAACAAGTAAGTAAGTGAGAAATATTGATTCAGCACAATAAGTTTCTTCGTGAGGGAGCTGACCAAATATTCGGTACATAATCAATGATGTGAAAAATATTTTACAACAGTCAAGATGGAGGATATGATGGACTTGGAGCCTGTTCAATGATGTGCGTTTGTTTTGCTCTACCAATTCAAAAAGACTCAAGCGCTCCATTAAAGTGCTAGTGCCCACATTTACTTTGTTTGTATCCTTCCTCACCAAAAAAGTACTTTAGGTACACATTTGAATCTTTTGGAATTCACCTCTGGATTTGAAACCCTGATCGAAGAAATTACGAAAAAAAGAATAATGAAAAAAAATAAAAAATAATAAAAATAAATAAGTGGGCTAAATAAATGGCATACTCATGACATAGTTGATGAAAGACATGGAGCCTGGGTAAACGATACTGATAGCAAAAGCATGAGAAACCACATAAATCAACATGCTGAATGGTCCATCAAGCGTTTTGCCGAGTAGACCGTAGAAACCTTCATTCTTCCAGTCTTCAGATAAGGACTTTGATGCATCATCCCTAGAAATAAGACAACAAACTGAATGAAGGAGAGACCTTTGAAAGGAAGAAAGAAAAAAATAGTTTCATCTTAATTTATCTTATCCTGTGCTTGACTTTTAGTGGCATCACATTTGCACATAGTACACAAAAAGGCACCAAGTCACATTATGTTTAAATCGAGGGAATGAGGTTTAAAATGTTATGCTTCCAAAGGACTTAAAGGTAAGGACGAGGTTTAAAGACTATTTTCACTTTTAAAATATTTTCCCTTCCCTTTGAAGTTTTAAGAGGTGAATATTTATGAATGATTGAATTCAAAACAACTCCTAACCTATTTTTTTTCTTTTTTCCAAAATGCAACGTGGTGTTTTTCTGTTGGAAACGGTCCATATGAGAGTGTACCCTATTGCTTCAGAGTAAAGCACATGGAAAGATGTGTGATCTTGGTAAAAAATAAGACACATGTCATTAGTTAAAGCCAAAAAACGTGTATCTCCGTTTCCGACATTGCAAATTTCTTGTCACATGTTACTATTTTTAAAAAAAAACTAAAGAAGTAAAGAATATAAGTTTTCAAAATTTTATATACGTTTCTTTCAATACAGAATACGATGTGAAAACTTCAAGCCATAAAGGTTATTTGCTACTTATTAAAAATGAACCAAAAAAATAAGAGGAAAAAAGGTGAAGACCTTGAAACTGGGATACATATTTAGTTCTTCACTTTCACTTTCAATATCCTTTTTCATAATCGGATGACACAATCATTCAAACATAATTCAGTTTTTGTCTAGACTCTAACCTATCAATAAATATAAGGCCTTGAACTAAAAGTTTATGAATGAATGACTTATGTAAAGGGACTATGTGTGATAAAAGTCAGAATATGAAATCAAAGAGAATGAGAACATTGCAGGGAAACTGAATGATACAACTCTGTAGAGGAGGCGACTATTTTTCAGAGATTAACAGTGGGACACATGCTCTGAGATGCTAATCATTTGAGTGGCCATGGAAAATTTCAGTCTGTAAAACAGGTTTTGTGCCAACAGTGCAATGCATGAGGAAAAACAGATTTATCCACTTTGAAAATAAGGAACATTTATTTTTAGTAGCACATGAATTAATACATTTCTCTCCATTCGAGCAGATGAGACAAGTCGGCAAAAGATATTTAGTTGATGATACAAATTGCAATTGAAGGGCTGATATCCTGATCTCCGTTTTCAGAGGCTCTCTTTTGAGTGAATTATTCTTCATTCAAATTTGATTAGGCTATTCTGCTCTATGTTGTCATTATAACTGGTTTATCTTATTAATCTATATTTAGCCATACTAGGGAAAAACGACTTAAGGGCATTTGGATGTTGACAAAATTCTTTCGATAAAAATTCTTCTGCAAACTTGTTTTTTTTTAAAAATATTTTTGCCTCAATTTTCCGATATGCATTAAAGTTGCTCCTACAATGCACTCTGCCTGTCTTCCCGGGATTTATTGCGCAACTAACACCGCAACATCTCTTTGTCAATGCCCTGTCGCCATCCTTACACAGGCCGTCCCCATTGCCTTTGCCCGGGTGGTACTCAATTGAAAACTTGTTTGAGTAACCTCTTCTCCAACATTTTTTGCACATGTCCATACCACACGAACTGCCTGGACATGACGTCGTTCGCAATATCAATTTTCAGATACTTTAGGTAAAATTGTTGAGAAAATTCTGAAGAGAAATTTAAAGAAAAATAGACATACATTGTCAAGAAAGCATCTAATAGAAACTTGGCAGGGGGACGGTTCCAAGTCAAAGATGTAAAATGATAAAAATTTTGCGGACTCACTGGCAATGTGCATTCATTTGAGGGGATGCGTTTCGGAGCTAATGGAGCCCCTTAAATGAATATACATTGCAAATGAGTGCGCAAAATTTTTATCATTTTAGATTGTCAGGAGAATTTAGCTTTTTATCCATAGAAATTTGGGATTATCTGAATGTTCACACAGTCTATTTTTTCTAGATGGTCCTTTAAAATTAGCATCTTTTCTTTCAATTTAAACCCATATAAAATATACACATTTCATTGCACAACCTTGCGATCTTCCTACGACCCTTTTCCATCATAATGGCAGTATTGTTTTGTAACTATAAATCTTTTTGTTTAAAGGACCATTGCTTGCTTAAAACTAAATAAATTGAATTGTATCGGAACTTACTTTTCAGCATCTCTCCAAGAGAATTCAATCGGCCAACCAGAAAAATCAAAATCATAGTGGAGCAGAGATTTCTATAAAAAATAGAAGGAAAAGGGACGTTACTTAATTGGCAAGAACAAAAATAAGACTAGTAAAGTCGATACATCTGCGTGACACTTTCCATACAAACTGAGTATGAAACTACTACTTGAAACTAATAGGATTGGTCAGCCAATCAGCAGCATCTTCTTCCCCGCTGCTAAAAGTAAACATTGCCAGGTGGTATGTGATTCAAGTTGTAATTTTTATCATCACTTTGACATAGAATTAAAATAAAAAAACATGTGTACAAAATAGTAACATTTGAACATAAATCTGGAGAGTTTAGATCATGTCAGGCAAATGTTTTTATAACAAAAAAAGATTATTTTAAAAACTGGACACTCACCTTGTTGTGCTCAGTCAAATTTTGTTGAGCAGATAGTAATATCTGATAAAAATTCATGTACTTTGGACTTGAAACCCTTCCATAACTACGGATGCAAACTGCGACAGTGAGGAGAAGACCAGTGCCAGCTGCTAGTTTTGCAACAAAAAGTGTTGGATCTGGCCCCAACAATCCTTTTTTGTAGATAATCAAAGCTATTGCTGGATAAATGTAGAATCCAAGATTCCAAACAGACTGAAACTGCAAGCAAAAATAGGAACAGGGTGTTCATTTACATCAACACATTTTTAGGAGAGATTATTTTAAAAGATTACTGCCTAAAATTTGAAAAACTTCAGCATTGATTGATCTGCGGTGCATATTTTTGATAATATGCACCGCAGATTATGTTTGACATAATCTATTACCTGCTTATTTCCTCAGAAAAAAACTTGTGAAGTAACAAGGCATGATGACAAATGATAGATAATGACACCTGTTTATTATTCTAAATTTTCATGAAAAAATCCTCACTGAAATCGAGTGCCAGTTCAACCATAACTCTGAATGCTACCAAAACAGTACTTCAGTGCAAAACTTTCATAGAGTACATAGAGTCATAATAAAATGGAGGAGCCGCGGCACCACTTTAAGGCAATTTTCAGTCACCGCGGTCCATGATACCTGTGCAGTGCCGGGTTACAATTTCTATACAGTATTGATTGTTTTTGATAAATGGAAACTGGCTATCCAATAAAAATAAAGAGGTTGTGAATTATTAAGTATTCTGCATCGCCATTTTAGATCGAAAATGTATCGAAAAGGTGACCGAATTTCGCCACACTCCAGACTCAGAACTCATCAACCAGAACAACTAACTTAATTTATTATGACTCTGAGTACTCTACGAAAACTTTGCAAGATGCTGGGAAACTTTCCTTACCATTGAGTTCTGCTCAAATTAATTCATAAATTAATCTTAGAGATGAGTGGAATCATGAGAGGAGCGAAAAGATAAATAAACTCGAGCAGAGTTTTAACTACTTACTGTTGTCACGATGAAATCACCCCATTTTTCAAGACCTCCTGGTTTATAGTAGTCCTATGGAAAAAAGAAGGAAAAAAATAGATGTTTACAAAGGTGAATGTTCCTCGAAGGAAACTAATATCATTTCCCCAAACAGGGAAAAATTTCATAAAAAAATAAGTATACTCATTTAAATTAGTTGCTTTTCTTGCTGTAAGATCTCACTTCCTTTTTTCAAAGTTTCAAAGTCAGCAATCACATAACTTGGTTTGCGACGTCGCAGTCTTCCGGTCATACTTTATTTTTTAAAAGGAAATAACTACTCAACGGCAATGCTTTGAAACTGCCATGATTTTTCTCCTCTGTACAAAGAAAATTCTGCAAGGACTTCAAGGAATGATGTCAATTTTTTCTCCTTTAAAAAAATAACATAGAGGCAGAGATTTTCACACACCGCAAACAAGATATATAATTGCGGACTTACGCCGTCGAATAAGTGTACATCATTCATGATCGTCAGTGTCATGTTTGGATTGGTTGAGCTTAGATAATACCAATGCATTATGCACTTTGTCTCAACGCAGTGTTTCAGAGTCCAATATTCAAAGAGATATTGCCTTTCGAAAATCACAGTGTGAGACTTCATCTACTGCGGTGGTACTTTAATGTCCCACGGTATTTAATTGGGGGTATAGCCAATTGCAAATATAACAGCGGAAATTTTCCATGCCCAGCATATCTGATATAATTGATTCTTTTCAGCGGTGAGTCTGATGCTAAGTTCTGCATGTCAAAAGAATTAAGTTTCAGCTTTTTTGGTGAGATGAACTGGTAAAATCAGTTTCTTGATGCAGGCGACTTCCCAATTTTACTCGCCAGACTTGAGACTTCCTACTGAGGAATGTACCTTTTCCTCTTTTAAAAATGACTGATAATCTAAATTGGCTGACTAAGAATGAGTAATTAATACTTACATCTGATTGCCTGGCTTCATAAATTCTGTATAATCTTGGAGAGAAGAGACATCCCAAGAAATTTTGGATGCTGGGCATGACTGAAAATTGATGAAAGCTAGATTAAACACAAAAACTAAACTGCATAAAAGATAAAATGAATGGAAAATTATCACTTAATTTTACGAAAAGGAAACCTTTTACTAGGCTTCCGAATTTTCATTATTGGTGGCTACGACACTCCAAAAATTATGCAAAATAAATTATGAAAGATCATGACAGGTTAGGTTTTCGTTTACCTTGAACAAGAGCAGGAATCCTGACTCCTGATTTGTCAGATCAGTCAGTTCCTGTAATCACAAAATTTGGCATTGCGCGCTCTCTCTCGGAGGAGCTTTCAACTAAACTTATGGCGAGCGCGAACTTCTTGCCGCGAAATTACGAATTTACGCTCCTACATTATATCGTTGGCCAAGTAAGGAACCACGTATCTCCATTACGATGTTTCAAAATTTCCGATCATTTTTCGTCGGACAACGAGCCAACTTCATATTTTATAATTTATACAAAATATTCAGTCAACAGAGATGGACCGCCGCGCCTCGGCGCGGCGGTCGGCATGTAACACATTTTAGCGCCTACAAGATTGCATGAATACTCCACGCATTGCGTCAGACACAGTGCGGTCAGCAGCGGTCGGCGCGTGGGACGCACAGCGCCTACAACACTGTAGGAATACTTCCCGCATTGCGCCAAACAGTGCGGTTGGCGCGGAGCGGCGGGGGAAGTTAAAATTATTAAACCATATTTATGTTAGTTATTTCTTAATTTTTTGGTTCAATGCTTATAAATGGAAGGCCTTGACCACAAAAATATAGGTTTACGGGACTTTTTCGCGCAAAGTTCCGTGAACTTCCGCTAGTAGTGCTGACAGGGCTTTCGCAAAAAATGTGTCTAACACGAGTAAACGTGTTTTATGCACCCCGCTACCTCCGGCACGTTCACTTGATGGTTTTATTGATGTTTCAAAACGAATGAGAAGGGGGCGGCAAAATACAGGTGGCCCATGGGCGGCAAGTAGGTAAATCCGGCCTTGATGAATATATACAACATAGCTAAAGAAAAGAAAAATGAGACAAGGGGACAGAATACAGAATACACTTTCTTCTATAACTCCTATTAAAGCGTCTCTCGTTTACTCATAATTTTTAGGCATTTTTTCCTTTACTAATTTTCCTTTCTCCTTACTTTTTATTTATTATTCTTTTCTTTTTTTCTTCTTCTTTTTTCCTTTTTTCCTTTTTTTTCTTTTCTATCTTTTCTCCTTTTCTTCATTTTCTTTACTATCATTCTAGCAGCCGAAAGAGGGGCGCAGGGGCGCGGCTTCGGCGCGCTGAGGGGGGGCGCGTCTGCCAATGGCAGATTGGCCTTATGGTCAGTCCAACCCTGATGTGCAATTCAAAATCCCGTAACCTATCGGACTGTTCAAACAATTAGGTAGAGTTTTGGTGTTGATAAAGTTCTTTTTTTCGGCTTTGACGACAAATTACCTAACGAATGGAACACTGTTTTAATTTTTTTTTTTTAAATTCGAAAAAAATTTTCGGAAATTTTTTGGAAATTAGAAATCGATGAATAACCAGCAGCCTCCACTCTACACATTGGTAAATGATACCAGTCAATATACATACGATAGCGCGCCTTCATTTTTGTCTGATACCGTGCAATACTTCTGTGGCGGAATATTTGCTCAGAGCGCCTTCAACAGTACCGCTTTGACTTGACTACGACGATCAAACCACTGGGATTTTGAAGTGGTTTTCTACCTTTTAGGTACTTGGCAATTTTCATATTTGTCTCTTTTTTTCTGCCCAACTCGTACATTTTTATAACGCAATCTTCCCCGACAAATCCGAAAAAAACTGTGGTTGTTGCAAGGTTTGCGCACAGGATTTGGTCATATTGCGCGATTATTGAAAGGTTAAAGCAGCCCGATAATACATAGATTGCGATATGTTGCATGGTTAAGATAGGGCTACGTCTTGTCGTGTCGGGCCGACATAGTTTCTTAATCGGGCCGCAACAGGCAAATCTCGCAGGCTACGTCATTCAGCAGATCCAGATCGGTCCATAATTTCGTGGATTTATTGATTGATCTGCCGTTTAAACCTATAGAAAAATGTCGATAAAACGGTTGTTCAAAACGAATACCTTAACAATCGACTCTTTACCACACCTTCGAATGAGGAAATATCGATAATCGATTATTGACGCCTCGCCACTGCTCATAAGCAGTGACCAGGCAGCGCCATTAATAAGTTCCACAAACTGATTTGTAAGGCCAAGAGTTGTAGTGCGTTCTAAATACTCCTTCGAGTTCGAAAAATATTTTCTTTTCCCAGCAATAACTAATCGTTCCGAAGAGAAAATATTTTTCTCCGGGCCACTAACTAATTTCTCCGAAGAGAAAATAATTCTCTCCCTAGATGTTTCTGATTTCTTATTTTATTTAAATACTAGGGGGTTGTGCCCCCTGGCCGCTGCGCGGCCCAACCCCTCTGGAGGCGCTTCACGCTCTCTTAGGCCCGCTACGACAAAATAAAGAAAAAAAAAAAAAATGAAAAGGTTTTCATACCAGACTCTCATTTTTGTCCTATTCCCCTGTGGCCGGGAGCGATTGGACCAATAAGAATCGTATGAAAAAAATCGTCTACCGTATACGGTCGTTGCGAACACTGTTGGTTGATCCTTTTCTATAGCTAAAAATGACAGATCAATCGATACATCACAAAACATGCCATGCCACAGAAAATTACGTGAATTATTCACAATTCAACGTTAACTCGGTGCGAGTCCGGTCGCTCTATAAATGGATTACATTTCAAAAATCGAAAGTTTTCAAGTAATAATTAATTGCTTAAAAACTTTTGATTTTTCCTCCATGTTAGCAGACAATCTATCCATACTATAGGCTCCGAGACCTCCTAAATTTGCAGATCCGGCAACGCTCAGTTCCAGCGTTCTACCTGGCCGATTTTCATGATTTTTGTGGTTATTGTCTCTCGGTGAACTTGCTATATTCAACTTTTGAAAAAATGTCTCAGGTTTTTTTTTTTTTTATATTACGTGGTAAGGTTACGAACTCTCCCATTCAAACAGTGTAAATTTTCATTTACTCGTTACCGATTACTCGTGACTTAATGGCCAGCAGTTTCATTTAATCGCGCTGTGCCGCAGCCGTATGCATGCTTTCACGTCGAGCAACTATTTTAACTCCTCGGAGATCAAATTGCATAGCTATGACATTGAAGGAGTTTCGAATACACGCACCGATTTGTGGCATTGCGCGGTTACTGCGTGGTATTGCCTCCTAGAGGTGTGCTTTAACGTGCCGACAAGTTTATAAAATGACCAGTGGCGAGGAATGAATGATCGATTATCGATATTTCCACATTCGAAGGCATGGTAAAGAATCGATTACTAAGGTGTATACTACATAACCGCACAACGCCACAAATCGGTGCGTGGATTCAAAACTCCTTCAATTTCGTAATAAAAAGAAACCAGAACGCATCGAGGTCAAACCTAGGATGAGGAGGCATGAAGGTTCATTTCTCCAACATTATGCCTTATGGGCATTACGCCAGTCTCCAACATACGTTGCCTTTAAAAGGTAATATCGACGGTGAAAGTCGGCAATCACATAACTCGGTTTGCGACGTCGCAGACTTCCTGTCATACTTTATTTTTAAAGTGGAAAACTATTCAACGGCAATTCTTTAAAACTGTCATGATTTTTCTTCTCAATGCGAAGAAAATTCTGCAAAAACTTCAAGAAATAATATCAATTTGTTCTCCTTTAAAAAAATGACGTAGAGGCGGAGATTTTCAGACACCGCAAACGAGTTATGTGATTGCCGACTTTCACTGTCGATATGGTTATTTTCAATGAAAAAAGCCACCTCTTATTTGGCAAATATTATTTCGGTCGTAGCCATACCTTTATCGTAATATAGTAATCTCCCTTCAAGATGAATTGAGGGGCTTGGAGGACATAGTGCATAGGTGCAGTTTTTGCTATCTATACTATAAGCTCCGAGACCTCCTAATTTTGCGTAACTGGTGACGCTTAGTTCCAGCCTTCTACCGGGCCGATCTTCATGATTTTTGCGGCAATCGACGGGCAATTGTCTCTAGATTAGCCAACTTTTTTCAGATTTTCAAAATATGAACCAGGTTTTTTTATATTACGTGGTAAAGTTGCGAATTCTCCCATTTAAACAATGTAAATTTATACTTTTTGTCATAGTTCGTTTGAGCGTTCTACCGGGCCGATTTTCATGATTTTTGCGTAGATCGTCAGGTAATTGGCCCTAGATGAGCCCGCTTTAATTAGATTTTGGAAATAGGACCCAGGTTTTTTTAAAATCACGTTATAAAAGTGAGTAAATTTACAGAATGCTCCGGGACTGCTACCGCTATGCGCGGGAGGATGCGCAGTGGTCGAAAAGGTTGCGCAGTGGATGTGTAGCCTGCGCATCAACTCTACACTTATGTACACAAGATTCGCTCCTCCGATCGAACGTCGATCGGTGGCCAAGTCGTCTAAGACGTCGAAGGCGTCCATTCGTAATTCGGTGTGGGTTCGATCCCCGACTTAAATATTTTAAATTATTACCCCTTATCGTTGTTCATTGTTTTACTGCAATATTTCATCAAGCAGTCATTCCAAATCGCGTCCTTTTAATTTTAAAGTAATTTTAGGTGAAGTTTAAAATTAAAGTGTATCTCATATCGTAATTTTTTAGGGGGAAAATAATAAACTAAAACTGATAGAATAGGGCCGCGAAGCGGCCCATTGATGGCGCGGAGCGCCTTCGGGGGGTTGGGCCGCGTAGCGGCCAGGGGGCGTAGCCCCCTAGTTTCAATAAATACGTGCTTTAAGTTTCGAAATTACATGGATCTTTATGGCGGAAAGACAGTTTAAACGGATTTTTTTTTTGCTTAAAAATTAGAATTGGGGAGCAAAACACAGAATATGCACTAAGACTAGTTTTACTTGAAATCATTAATATCTTAATTTTTTCAAAAACTGCACTTGTGCGCCTTGCCCTCCAGGCCCTTCACTTAATTGGTTAAACAATGTATGTATTTCAATGTAAATTCTGCTCAGAGGTAAGAATACGTACTTACGGATAACTAGTATCCTGAACAAAAGAACCAGATGCATGTTAGCCAGTAAGAAAGAAGCAATCGAAATGACAATCATTTATAAAATTAATCCCTGGTAATAACTCGAAACACTGCCGCATTCAACAGATCTAACATACCGAACT